CCATTTGTTTCCTATGTTGGGATTCCATCATGTTCCTCAGCGCCTCTCTAGATTTATTAATCATGTCTTGCACGATGAGCACAATCTCTGCTGTTATCTGAGAAATTATTTCTGATTTCATTTTTTCCAGATCCTCTTTTGTTGCCAGGACAGGGACTCCAGGTGCTTGAGTATCAAGAGTGTTCCATCTCATTTCCCTTTGGGGTTGCTGTAGGTGATCTGCAAGTGTGGTTTTGAGACTTGTTTATTTGTCTTCTCATTTCGACCTGGGTGGGTGGTGCTTCTGCTGGCATCTCCTCTGGGCTGGGAGTGGTGGTGCAGCAGCCCAGAAACCTCTTCATCTCCGCTGGGAGTGGTGCTACAGCAGCCCAGAAGCCTCCTCCTCTGCACTAGGAATGGTGCTGTGGCAGCTTGGAACCCTCCTCCTCTGTGCTGGGAATGGTGCTATGGCAGCCTGGAAGCCTCCTCCTCTGCCCCAAATTTTAAATTTTAACAGATACCCATCTCTGAGACATTTAGTATATAAAAAAAAAGAAATCACTAACCTTGAAGCAGTATTCAAAGTACAAATGAATACTAGTGTTGTAACAAGTGTTTTCAAGCCCTCCTCCAAAGAATTGAGTCTGTTCATGTTTTCAAATTCTTAGAAGGCACCTTCCATCATTGTTGGTGGGAGTGTTAAGTACAGCTACTATAATAGTCAGTATACAGACATCTGAAAATAAAAAAAGAAGTTCCATTTGACCCAGAAATACCTCTCCTGGGTACTGTCCCAAAAGAGTTAAAATCATCATATTATACTGATAACATGCATACACATACTCTAAGCAGGACAATTTATAACAGCTAAGCCCTGGAATCAGCCTAGATATCCATCATTGGATGCATGGAAAAAGAAAAAAAAAATTTGTTAAATTCTTTTATTGGTACATTTTAGATATATAATATGTTTACATTTTTCATTGGGTGCTTGTACCTGTACATGGTGTATCTTGGTTCTTACTTTTTCCCCATTTCCTATGCACCCTTCACCCCTTCCACCCTTCCCTATTTACATAGACTTTGTTTCCATTTTTTTCTTTTCTCATAATTTTTCCTTTCCCTTCTT